GGACGAGGCCTCCAAAGCCGGCCGGCTGACCGGCTGTCCGAGGGCGGCAGACGACCTGTCTCCGGCCGCCGCCTCAGTCTGAGACCGGGCGGCGCGGGCTATCTGGCGAAGGGTTAAGAAGACCTGCCACCACGGCCACTGGATCAGTTCCAGCCAGGCTTCGGCGTTGCGTTGGATGCACTCGACAGCGGCGTTTCGAGACTGGTCGAGAGGTGAATGAAGAAAAACGGGAAATGATCAAAATTGCCTCAGAAATGTAGTCAACTGAGGATGCTGGACAGTTCGGTAGAGGTTGGTTGGGAATTTTTGCGCTGTTTCTGTGCACTTAAAATGTTTATGTTGAGTTTTATGCTGCTTTATTCATAGCTTGCTCTAGCTTGCGTTCATTATGAAGAAGGGTAGGAAGGATAATGATTGTTTTAACGATAATTCATTTTTATTTTGAGTGCCAATTACAGCGTGATCTACTGAGATTGAAAAAACTTATCGTGGTATTTTTTAGGTTTTAGTTATTGGTTTCTTATTTTTAGATATACTGGATCCTGTCGAGCTAACTAAGCTATGCCAATTACTAAGCTTATTAAGTAATTTGGTATAGTGTGCTTCATTGCTGTTAATGTACTTAATTAATTATATTTATTCGTGTCTTATTCTAAGAATTGAGTGAAGGTTTATTTATGTTTCTTGTTTTCTGATGCAGTTTTATCATTAATTGTAGCTAGGAGATTTAACAATTTTAATGATCACTCAAAATGTTAAAGTACTAATCATATTTCTTGTTCGTCTTTTTAATTGGAAGGTGATAATCTTGTTTTAATCTCACCATTGGTTACTGTGAAACTTGAGATTACAGAAAGGTTAAACATTCTTAAATAGCACCCATGTTAGCCCTATTCGGAGAAAGAAATACTGGCCAAAAGACGGTTACTGCCCTGCTAGAGATCTTGGAAGTAAGGAAGAATATGCTGGAAAGCGGACGAAGCTATTAATACTAATCAATCTGACAGTAAATACTACATATTTTACATTAAACGGTAATGTCTATGAGTAAATATGTTAGCTACCGATGAGATATCCACTTTCATCTCTCTTGGAAAATGTAAAAATGAACAAATTTGACAAGTCACCGCTCCAACCAAGATTGCTTATGCGATACCTGGATGACTATTTTGCACTTTGGTCGCATAGTGAGACAAATTTGGATCAGTTACTCAATTTTATAAACCAACTTATTGAAAGAATTAAATTCGCAACGGAGGTGGAGGAGGATAAACGACTAACCTTCCTGTATGTTGAGGTCATTCGAGAGGAGACTATTCACAAATAAATTACCTGCGGTAATAATTCCCAATTTTCAGTCTCATCATAACTAAAGAGTGAAGATAGAAAGAGTGAGCAATATGATCATGAGAAGCTTAAGACTAACGGACACTGAGTTCTGAACGAGGAGTTGGAGAAATTGACTCGGATATAAGTTAGTAATGTGTATCCCAGAGGATTTATAGAAAGAAATATAGGGGCCATAAAGAGCAGATTTTAACTAGAATTTTGTGAAAATAAGATCAGGAATCGGGGAGACGACCAAAAGCAGATATGCCTGTTCTTCTGTGAACTGAGTCGAAATTGCGACGGTTGCTAAGAAAATGGAATACGAAGGTGATAACTAAAGAAAGGACAACACTCTTCACAAGCCTACCAACAGAACACGAGAAGTTTTGACAAACTGGATTGCTCGGGAGCCTATATTATCAAATGCAGCAAATGTGAGCAGATGTTTATTGGTGAAACAGAAACATGGACACTGAACGATCCGAAATAGCTGAACACATCGCATGGACAGGACACGAAATCGAGTGGAAATCGACAGAAAGGCTGACTGCATATGGTTGGAATACAAGAAACCGTGAGATACGAGAAGCCAGTGATATCCTGACTAAGAGAAACCTAATGAACAGAAGACTTGACAGGGCAGGATAAGCGAAAACTTTGCCTACTGCCTAAGCAAACTCGGAGATCAGGGAACAGCAATATCAGTAAAAAGAGGACGACTGGAAAAAGGTAATACTTTTAGAGGTTGTTTGACCTTGTTTTCACAACTTGGTCATATTGGCAGGAAGACTTAGAGAAACTCACCTAGTCCGGAGTCCATTGTATGCATGATCATTTCCAAAGTACCATGGACGTGGTACATTTCCAAACGTTTCGCCAGCA